ATACTAGAAGCTTTTTATCCCATGCACGAATGCAAACATTTCCCCAAAACACGTTCACGTTACATGCATATGCTGGCTTTTGTAATCTATAATTTCCCTATTATGTTGTGTCTGTTTTTTCCATGTCCAAAATTATCAACGTGCATATTGTTTAAAGTGAACTGTAAAGAGTTCCTGTATGGATGTACCATACTTTATTTAGCTGATCCTCTGCTGATTAGCTAAACAAAGGTGTGGGCGGGCAGCCTACTTCCAGGCTCACCATCAAAGGCAGACAGCAGTTCCAGGTTATCCTCCATTTCACTGGTAACGGAGATGGCCTGCTTCACTTTCAGGTTGGTTTCCCTAGAGGAAAGGTCACAGGTTCATCAAATGTATGGGACAGAAACACAACCAGAGCACAGGACCAGCTGCTTGTGCTTCTCATTAGGTTTTAGAAAATAAATGTTGCCAGCAGAATATGGGCTAAGGGTTTGAGTTGTTGGAGTACCTCACACTAGTTACTCCTTGTTCTCATGGGCAGTATGGCGGAGAGATAACCGACTCCCTGTCACCCTCCCTCTCATACCCTGCAACAACATACCACCTCGACTTTAACCAACACAGAGTGGCTGTTAGGAAAGTTAGAGGGAAACCCGGAGGTGGCATGCATCTGCTTCCTTCAGGAACAAGGAGCAGGCTCTGGTGAGAAGCTGCTCATGCCTCTGAGGAAATATAGTTCTGAGTTCATAAATATTTACAAGGTCCATGGAAAGATCACAATTAACCATTTTTGGATACAAGAACACACAGAGATAGTAACAACTATAGATTTCAAGAAGCTTTTGGATGAGGTATTAGTCAGGGCTCTTTAGAGGAACAGAACTGAGAGAAAAATACACACACACACACACACACACTATACATACACACACACACACACACACACACACACACACACACACACACACACACACATATACGAAGCAGATTAATTAGAGTGGCCGACACACTATAGTCCAGCTAGTCCAACAATGGCTGTTTCCCAACGGAAAGTCCAAGGATCAAGTGCATGAGGCTGACTGTGTGGTCTTCAGTATACACTGGAATCCCAAAGAAGCAGGCTCCAATCCCAGAAAATTGGGAGTGAGGGCAAGCAGGCAAAGGGGAGCAATTCCTTCTTCCACGTCCTTTATACAGGCTGCCACCAGGTGTGGCTCAGATTGAAGGCTGACTTTCCTTCCTCAAATGATTTAATTAAGAAAAATCCCTCTTCCTCACAGGTGTACCCAGATGCTTGGGTTTTAGTTCATTCCAGATGTTGTTAAGTTGACAGCCAAGAATGGTTATCACAGGCACAAAGAGGAATGTAGGCTGATACAAAACTCCATGAGACAAGTCTCTGAAATGGCCTCCATATTCCCAAGTAAGACCTTAGCTTACTGTGAGTAAATAAAGGTCCACTTTAATTTCTTTTTAGGACATAATTCTTCTTTGTTTAAATTGCCTCCTAGAAATGTTGTAACTCCATTCTGAAATTTTGCAATCCTATGACTCTCTTTCATGCTAGTCAATATAGGTATCCCTCACTGACTTCAGGCAATTGGTTCAAGGACCCCACATGAACACCCTAATCCATCATTTGCTCAGCTATCTTTTATAAAATGGTCCAGCATTTGCATATAACCAATAAACACTCTCTTCATACAATGTAAGTGCTATGTAAATACCTGTTCTATCTTATTTTTAGGGAATACTGATAAGAAAAAAACAATCTGTGCATATTCAGTACAGAGGAACCTTTTTTTCAAATATTTTCAGTCTGCAATTCTTAAAGATAAGGCATGGAACTCATAGACGGGGGCGGGGGGGCAGACTGACCCCAGTTTAGAGATAGAGAATTTGGGGTTTATTTTTCCAATCCTGTGCCTGATGGATGCTCATTATTGCTGCCCAAGCTCAGACTTAGACCTGAGGGTTCCAATTTATTGTCTTTTCTCACTTGGATATCTTTAGTTTTCTGGCACATAAACTACTACTACCACCTGAATATAAAACTAGTCCACTGCATCATGCTTGCCCTCGAAGTGGCTAGATTGTCTTACTGCAGTACCAGGAGAAAACACTTACCCATCCAGGTCTGCTGTTTCAATGTATGTCAGACCGCAGGGCTCACTGCTAGAGAGTAACAGTATATCTGCCTGCAATCAGAAAAGCCAGAGAAGAGGAACCGAAGGCTGGCCCCTAGCCTTACAGTGTGATGGAGAGCAGCCCCTCCCTCTGGAACAGATGTCCACTCTAAGAACTTGGCAGACTCTTGGCTACTCTCATTATCTGTGACCCGTCACTGCTACCATGCTTGTCTCTCAAAGTTGCTTCATTTTACCTGAAGCTGTGACAGGAGATGGACAAGAACGAGCTTCCTGCCAGAGGAGCCGGTGACATCAGGGCAAAGTGAGGCCCCTGAAGGCTGTCAAGAGGGGTGGAGGCAAACATGCTGCAGGGCTCCTGCCCTCAACTCAAGGACAGAAAGGAAGGCACGGCCAGAGGAGATACTCACTGTGACAGGGTGATCGTTCTCTAGTTTTATGATGTCTCCCACTTGAACGTTCATCCATTTGTCCTCCTCGACCCTGTAAGAAAATGGCCCTGAATTTCTGCTCTCAGAGTTTCCCCAACATTCTGTTTTGACAACTAGACAAAACAAAGCAAAAAGAAATAGAAAAGGCCAAGATGAATGAAGACACATCTCAGGAGGGCCACATTTGTTTGGGCAGTCAAGAGCAAGCTCTGTTTCTTTTGACACATCTCTTTCCCCAGCAATTAGCTTTCCTCTTCAAAGGCAGCCATTATATTTTAAAAACTTTCCTAGAAGCCAGGTGGTGGTGGCACACATCTTTAATCCCAGCACTCAGGAGGCAGAGGCAGGCAGATCTCTGTGAGTTCGAGGCCAGCCTGGGCTACAAAGCAGGTTCGAGGCCAGCCAAGGCTACACACAGAAAAGCCCTGTCTTGAAAAACAAAAAACAAACAAACAGAAAAACAAAAACAAAACAACAACAACAACCTTTCCTAGAAAATATCAACTCATACAATCTTCTATAACACATATACTTCAAAGCTACACAGTAAGGTTTTTAATCCCAGTATCTGCGAGGCAGAGGCAGGAGAATTTGGGTGAGTTCAAGGCCAGCCTGTTCTACACAGTGAGTTCCAGGCCAGCCAGGGTTTACACAGTGAGACCTTGTCTCAAAAAATAAAGTTAAACAGCAGATACCTTACTTTCTTCATTTTTCATTTAATAACATAACTTGGAGGACATCTATAGATGTGGTTCATCCTTTTATTAAAAAGCTAAAATGTATTCCATCATGTGGCTTTACTAATTTTATTTTGTTCTCTCATTGGGTTATCTTTGACCCTTCAAATCCTCATTTCCTATAAAAGGAGCCTGGCAGTATGAGCCGATTCAACGACAATACTAGCTCTCTTCCCTTGTCCCCCTCTTTTGTACTCCAGTTTTCCAACAGTACTCATAAGTCACTTCCTCTCTGATAAAGGACATAGATATATGCATACATGCTCCCATGTGCGAATGCATTTGGAAACATGGCCAGCCTCTTTGAACAATTCTATTATGTCAAGTACCCAAAGAGCAGGGGAAGAGAGGGCATACCCACCCTCCATTTCATTTCCAATGCAGACTTGACACATACAGTACTTTACCAGATACACGAAGACATAACTTTTCCCAGAACACTTTCCAGAAAGACCACTTCTTTCCAGAAAATGCCATGTTTATTTTATTTAAAAATCATTTACTATAAATTTACTCTTTGTTTTAGGGATTTTTCTGGTAGAACTGAAGAGTAGAAAGAAGCTGTGGAAAAGACATCTGAAATTTTTTTTTTTAATTTGTAAAAATTTATCTTGGTTTGACATTTACTTTCAAGGGTTCTCTAGGCAGGATTTTCACCAAAGAGAAATGAAGAAAAAGCAGAGTTATAAGATTCTACCTTCTCCTGGAGACCTGAAAAGCTGTTATTTTATTGTATAAGGAGCTGTCAAACTATTACAAATGTATTCCTGGATATTATAGTAAAAATGGAGGCCAGATTAGGCAAAGAGGAAGACAGTCCCACTGAACGGTACCTCCCAGAGTTCATAAACATCCTGTCCTTTTCATACTGCAAATACTTAGAAACACTGGATAAGACAAAGCAAGACTGCCCTTGAAGTAAAAGAGCCAGGAAACAAAAGGGTGAAACCAGAGCAGTAAGCATGCTTTGACGTTGCTCTCGCTCTGGACAGGCGAGGGATTGTCCATTTTAATAACCCTTCCTCTGAGTTTCAGTTTCTCCCTCTATTGCGGCAAGAACAGACTTAGGATCTGGAGAGGCCTCAGAGCTTCTCCTAAAGCCAAGATCTTCAAAGGACAACACCATTCGTGAAAAGGCAGCCTAAATAACAAGCCGCTCACTGTTAAGTCAGTTCCTACAACTTGATCTGGAGGGCTAGGGGTTGCTGGGAGGTAGCAAAAGAGCAGGGTGTGGTGGCTGAGGCAGGAGGACTGCCATGGGTTGGAGCCTAGTTTGGGTTAGCGAGTGAATTCTAGAACAGCCTGACTATAGAGTGAAACCCTGTCTGAAAAACAAAAACAAAAAAATCTCCAAACCACCAAAACAAAAGTCGCAGCTTGCCAACAGCTGTTGTCTCTGGAGCCCCCCTGGCCACGAACTCACCTCTTCTAGCTTTCTTTCCAGTTGCTTTCTAGAAAGCAGCCATTTTGTGATGAGCTTCCCTATATGTATTAAATTAAGTTGACCATGACTGCTCACAAGGCTTAACCAGGGCCTCTGGATAACTCTTAAACTCGCTCTGTGACAAATTCCTCTCCAAAAGTCTTGTACAACCTAAGTACTTGAGCTATCCGAGGGAGTTCATCTGACTAAATGTATCTGGTCAGTTTCCAATACACCGAGTTTTGTCTTTTTAAAACTGCTATCCTTTCCCTTTCAACAGTAAACCACCGAATTGGTATCTCCAGAACTTCCGGCCATTTAAAATACTCGAGGAAGCAGTCCACTCTGGTTAAGAGTCAGCAACACAATAAACAGAGGGGTTAGATGTCCCAAAGCGTGGATAACTGGATGATCTGATAAAGACAGCAGGTATGTAGTATGGGCAAGGCCACTGTGACAGAGGCCGGGCTGTAGTCTTGACTCTGTCAGGTCTGCATTTTCCCTCATCATGTTTCCGCTCACACTGATCACTCTTCTTCCACACAATTCCAACTTCTTCAATCGTTCCCACTCTTTGAACCTCCCCGGAAGGTGTCCTTAATCGCTCTGTCAGATGTGGCTCAATTAGCTTGCCATACCTCTTAGAATAGCTTTCACATTTTGCCTTGTACAGGAACATGTCCGCCATAGCACAGCCGCAGAGTCAAGGCAAGCGCTATCTTTGGTCGTCAAACGGCACACTGGACAAAAGGCTACAGTAGACTAGCCAGTGAACCACATCAGAACCCTTCACGTCCTAAAAGCCAAAGTCTACAGGCTAAACACGCTGACCATAGTCACTGGCATATTAATTTCATGCTATAATGTGTCAATTGCTTGGATATATTATTTCATTTTTATTTTCTCAGGCATAGTCTAAGACAGAGAATATTATTTCCATTTTATAGGAAAGAAGTCCAGAGAGATCTCAGTTAATATGGTAAGTTCTGGGCATGCTAGAGAACATCTACAGGCAAATTCTTAGAACATTTTCCTAGCATACATGAGGTCTTGGATTTGATCCCCAGCACCCCAAAAAGAAAGATTTCAATTAAACAGAAACAGATTCTTTTAAAGTTTAACATGAGGCTCTTTTCACTGTCCTGAATTACCTTTTCAAAGTATCGACCTCATCAAATTTTAGGACTGTTCCTACCTAAACTGGCTTTCCTAAGAGAACATACCTGCCATTCACCAGCACCAAAACAGAGCGGTTGTTGACTTGCTTGTCACTTTGGTGTCTTTTCTAAAATCACACAGAAAATGTTCAGGAAATAGACACGTGGAAGACTGCATGTACAATTTAAAAGTTTAAAATAGTGCCCACTATGGTTCTTGTTTGTGATCCCCCTCTTCCATATCCCAAAGCCCCCCCCCCCATTAAAACCAGGTTAAGAGGTTAATGTTCAATGGGTGCTTGGAAGGAGGTATAAAGAGAACTCAGGGGAAAGAAAGAGACACAACCTTTGTGAGACATATATATATAATATATACTATATTATATATATATATATATATATATATATATAGCCTAGGAGCTTGAAGACAAATGACTCCATCCAGAGATAAGAGGACAGGGTGCAGGCCAGACAGCACTAGGGAGTTCTTTCTGTACAAAGAACCCGGAACACACAGAAGCATTTCAGCAGATGTGCAGAGTAAAGGGCCGATATTCAGAGGCAGCAAGAGAACACATACAGCACATGCCCCAGTGACAGGATTCACAAGAACCACCCCTTCAAGTGGGGTTCTTCCAGGACTGGGAAGGGGTGGGGCAGGCAGAATACTCAGTTTTTCATGCTTCAAGGTTCTCCCAACATTTAATCTAAAGAGACCGAGTTCTGTTCTTCTAGTTCTCACTAGAAGGAGACAGTACCAGGGAATGTATGCGGTTCTGAGCTAAAATGGGTTTATACAGCTCAGTTTGTTTATCTGGGTTGTGACTGAAATTTAAACCACTACATGTGCTAAGCCTATATTTTACAGAGTTAAAAAGAGTAGGAAATGTCATACTCTTCAACTCTGGTCCATAACGTGTCTTGACAAAATCAGGCCTCTTTGAAGACACTGCAGGACTGGCTTCCCAAACCCCACCTGCAGGTTTCAGATCCAGGCTGACCCCTTCCAGCCTGCAGGTTTCAGATCCAGGCTGACCCCTTCCATTTAGCACCGGCTGTGACAGGCCAGTTTCTCTTTCCAAGGCCAGGAAAAGAGTGGGTCTTTGATGGCGTCACAGGGCTCCTAGCTGTGCATGCCACACAGAAGTAGCATTTGGAAAGGGAAATATAAAGAACGCTGGAGAAGGGGAATGTGGAGGGAGAGAAGAAGGAACAGGAAAAGGAAGGAACAGGGGACAGAGGGGAAGGGGGAAGGGTATGAAGTGGGAGGAGGGCCAGATAAAGAAAGGTGCCAGCAAAGCCAGATAAAGCTAAGGGGTCAGGGCTGGGTTACTGAGAAGAGAGGGAAGGAAGTCTGGAGGAAGGGCTAACAGTGGTGGAGCAGAAAAAAAGCCCCTATCTGGCCAAGCAGGGACCAAGCAGAGTCATGGGCTTGTGGACATGATATAACCTCCAGGATAGATAAGGGAACAAATATGAGAAACATCTCTCTATTTAGCATTTCTTGGCACAAGGTAGCTCTGGAAGTTTTCTTGCCCACAGCCCAATTACTAGGTATAGTGTGGGAAGCCCCGGAAGCTACTTTACCACATCATCGATGGCATCTTTCACGCCTGTTATGGATAGCACCACGATCAGGGGTATCACAGTTGTGTACCATGCCAGGGAAGAGATCTGAGGAATCAACTTTGAGAAGGAAATAGAGAGATCTTAGGTCAGGAATCCTAAAGAATAACACACTTCCCCAAATTTCTTGCCCTCACCATCATTTTTACCTCTCTGGGTTTATTATTATAAACCAAAAGGTTATAGTTACTCTTCACTTGTTATAACCTCCCTGCATTGCTAAATTAAAGTAAACATTTCCCAAAAGATGAAGAAAAGGCTGTAAGTTGCCACTTACATGTTGTGAATGTCTCTACCTTAGTACTAATGGGAAAGAGTCATTTCTTCTCCAATAATGAAAGGTATTGGAAGGTAGAGTGTTTACAGTTTACATGGCAAGGATGGAGAGATGGCTCCATGGTCAAAAGCACTGGATGCTCTTCCAGAGGATTCAAGTTCAATTCCCAGCACCAACCATTTTAATTCCAATTCTAGGGGTTCTGATGGCCTCTTCTGTATGTACCAGACATGCACATGGTACATAAATGTGCATGTAGGCACACATACATAAAACTAAAATGATTTGAAAACAGTGGGCATGGGAAGACCATGTATTCTCCCACATTTTCAGTACAAGGGAGGGTGAGACAGTCTGTCCCCTTCTCTCAATATGAGGCTACCCTACATAGATCCCTACCCCTGTGCTGGCTTTCTTGTATTCTATACCATTCTCTTCCCTTGGTATGTGTCAACTCCTATCACAGAAGAATAGGCCTGTAGTTAGAGCTGGGGTGAAGAATCTGCTTTCTTATGGTCAAGCTGAACTGTGGCTATACAGTCACAACGAAGGAGCTCCCGCTCCATGGGATTCCTTCCTTTTGTCTCCTTCATACAGAGGCTTGCTTCACACGATAACCCTGACTTCTGCTGTGCTAGGGAACTGATCAAAGGCCCCAGCCATCCATCTGTCAATGTCAAATAAGAGTATATCTTGCAGTCTAGGTACTGATCACATGACCTGACCCCAGAGAAGATAAGAAAACACTGAAAATGCCTTAGGAGGCCATACCTGTAAGAACAGCAAAATAAGGAAATAAGCATTTGCAAGTCTCTGGAACTGTTCAAACAGGTTCATGGGCAGGAAGTTAAACAAATTATATTTTGAGGTCTTGATGGTATTGTCCTATAGGTAAAATACAAAAACAATAACAACAAAAAGCAAACACAAGTGGAAGAACCAGGAAGCTAGCTCAAAACTGGTTGGTCTGTTTGTTCCCTCAATACTCAGGATATAATTATTGAACGTAGCTATATATTAAACTTGTGGCAGGAACTATGAATACAGAGGTGAATGAGACAGGGTCACAGTTATGGAGAAAGAGAACTAACATCTGTATAACTGTATTGAAATTCATATCCATCATATAAGATGAATGTTACCATATCCATTTTATAGATGAATGAACTAAAGATCAGAGACATTAAACAACTGTATAATGCTTCAAGGTGAGTAAGGGGCACAGCGGTAATCACATTTAGGTCTGTATGATATCCAAAGCTAGTTTTCCTGTATCTCACTGCTTTGTTTTCTGTACAGAGAAAGGGAAAGGCTGCTCCCACTGCCACACTACACCATGGTTATTACCCAGAACCTCTAACTCAGAAGTCATAAATTAATATCCTGCAGGAACCACAAATACATACGGTTATGTAGTCTTCATATACTGAGAGTTACATGTACGCATGATCGTGTGTGTGTGTGTGTGTGTGCGTGTATGTGCGTGTGTGTGTGTGTGCGTGTGTGTGTGTGTGTGTGTGTGTGTGTGTGTGTGTGTGTGGCTATAGATGTAGGAAACAACATGTAAGACACTCTTTGAAGTGGTGTTACATGCCTGTAATTCTAGCACTTGGGGGGTCTGAGAGAGACGGATTCTGAGTTCAAGGCCAGCCTTCTTTCAGAAGCCAAGCCAAACCAAGGAAGGCAAAGCACTGTTTGTGACTGAGGCTGGAGATGACCCAAAGGGTCGTTTAAAGCTAGATACGAAGAGGAAATCCTAAATAACTGAAAAGAAAAAAGTAGAAAGCTATTATGAAATTAGGACTCTGAAAAATATTAAGATCCTGATAGTGTAAAAATATAGAAAAAAGAATATATGCTCATATTTCCTTATGGACACTCATATTTCCTTTTTTTTTTCTTTTTGGTTTTTCAAGATAGGGTTTCTCTGTGTAGTTTTGGTGCCTGCCCTGGATCTCGCTCTGTAGACCAGGCTGGCCTTGAACTCACAGAGATCCGCCTGGCTCTGCCTCCAGAGCACTGGGATTAAAGGCATGCGCCACCACCGCCCGGCCCATATTTCCTTTCTGTATGAAGGCACCAATGAGTATATGAGAAACTAACCTACAAGGGAGCAGATGTGAACAAAGATGGGAGCTGAAGCACGATTTTATAAAATGCTTGCTATGTTATGAATTACTTCATAAATAAATAAGTGAAAAATGAAAAATCAAACAGGAAATCGGGCAAATCATTAATAGGTAGTTTTAAAAAATTCAAAAGGCGCCGGGCGGTGGTGGCACACGCCTTTAATCCCAGCACTCGGGAGGCAGAGCCAGGCGGATCTCTGTGAGTTCGAGGCCAGCCTGGACTACCAAGTGAATTCCAGG